TCTGCTCTGATCTTTATTATTTCTCTTCTCCTGCTGGGTTTAGGCTTTATTTGCTGTTTTTTCTCTAGCTCCTTTAGGTGTAGGGTTAGATTGTGTATTTGAGACCTTTCTTGTTTCTTGGGAAAGGCTTGTATTGCTATATACTTTCCTTTCAGGACTGCCTTTGCTGTATCCCAAAGATTTTGAACAGTTGTGTTTTCATTTTCATTGGTTCCCATGAATTTTTTTAATTCTTCTTTAATTTCCTGGGTGACCCATTCATTCTTTAGTAGGATGCTCTCTAGCCTCCATGTATTTGAGTTCTTTCCGACTTTCTTCCTGTGATTGAGTTCTAGTTTCAAAGCATTGTGGTCTGAAAATATGCAGGGAATAATCCCAGTCTTTTGGTACCTGTTGAGACCTGATTTGTGACCTAGGATGTGATCAATTCTGGAGAATGTTCCATGGGCACTAGAGAAGAGTATGTATTCCATTGCTTTGGGGTGGAATATTCTGAATATGTCTGTGAAGTCCATTTGGTCCAGTGTTTCATTTAAACTCTTCATTTCCTTTTTGATCTTTTGCTTAGATGATCTGTCCATTTCAGTCAGGGGGGTGTTAAAGGCCCCCAGTATTATTGTATTGTTGTCAATGTGTTTCTTTGTTTTTGTTATTAATTGCCTTATATAATTGCTGCTCCCATGTTAGGGGCATAGATATTTACAATTGTTAGATCTTCTTGTTGGATAGACTCTTTAAGTAGGACATAGTGTCCTTCCTCATCTCTTTTTACAGTCTTTGTTTTAAAATGTAATTTGTCTGATATAAGGATTGCCACCCCAGCTTTCTCTTGGTGTCCATTAGCATGGTAAATGGTTTTCCACCCCCTCACTTTCAATGTGGGGGTGTCTTTGGGTCTAAAATGAGTCTCTTGCAGACAGCATATTGATAGGTCTTTTTTTTAATTCAATCTGATAGCCTGTGTCTTTTGATTGGGGCATTTAGCCCATTTACATTCAGGGTAACTATTGAAAGGTATGAATTTAATGCCATTGTATTGCCTGTAAGGTGACTGTCACTGTATATTGTCTGTGTTCGTTTCTGCTCTTTGCTGCTTTTAGGTTCTCTCTTTGCTTAGAGGACCCCTTTCAATATTTCTTGCAGGGCTGGTTTTGTGTTTGCAAATTCCTTTAGTTTTTGTTGTCCTGGAAGCTTTTTATCTCTCCTTCAATTTTCAATGACAGCCTATCTGGATACAGTATTCTTGGCTGCATATTTTTCTCGTTTAGTGCTCTGAAGATATCATGTGAGTCCTTTCTGGCCTGCCAGGTCTCTGTGGATAGGTCTGTTGCCAATCTAATGTTTCTACCATTGTAGGTTACATATCTCTTCTTCCGAGCTGCTTTCAGGATTTTCTCTTTGTCTCTGAGACTCGTTAAGTTTTACTATTAGATGTCGGGGTGTTGACCTATTTTTATTGATTTTGAGAGGGGTTCTCTGTGCCTCCTGGATTTTGATGCCTGTTTCCTTCCCCACATTAGGGAAGTTCTCTGCTATTATTTGCTCCAATATACCTTCTGTCCCTCTCTCTCTTTCTTCTTCTTCTGGGATCCCAATTATTCTAATGTTTTTTCGTCTTATCGTATCGCTTATCTCTCGCATTCTGCCCTCGTGATCCTGTAGTTGTTTCTCTCTCTTTTTCTCAGCCCCTTTTTTTTCCATCATTTGGTCTTCTATATCGCTGATTCTCTCTTCTGCCTCATTTATCCTAGCAGTTAGTGCCCCCATTTTTTATTGCACCTCATTAATAGCCTTTTTGATTTTGACTTGGTTAGATTTAGATTTTAGTTCTTTTATTTCTCTGGAAAGGGTTTCTCTAATAACTTCCATGCTTTTTTCAAGCCCAGCTAGTATCTTTAAAGTCATGATTCTGAACTCTAGGTCCGACATCGTACTAATGTCCGTATTGAGTAGGTCCCTGGCAGACGGTAGTACCTCTTGTTCTTTTTGCTGAGGTGATTTTTTTCGTCTTGTCATTTTGTCCAGAGGAGAATAGATGAATGAGAGAACAAAATGCTAACAGGTTAACAACGTCCCCAGCAAACATACTCTATACAAATCAGAAAATACCTGAAAGCAGGGGAAAAGAAAGGGAAAGAAAGAAAAAAGAAAGAGAAAAAAAAAAAGAAAAAGAAAAAGAGAAAAACAAACAAAAACAGAAGAAAAAAAACAGAATATGATCAGATATGATCAGGCTAATGCATAGATCAGTGCCACACACTAGATTTTGGGCCTATTTTGGTTAGAAGAAAGTGCCTCCTAAAATTTTATAGGAAGAAAGTCTTATATATGTAGAAAATAAGGGTTGATACAATAAAGGGATGGAAGATGACTATAAAGATGGAAATTATAAAAGATTTTCTAAAAGGAATTGATAAGAAGGTGTTTGAAAAAAGAAGAAGATTTAAAAAAAAAAGAAAAGAAAAGGGAGAGAATGTGATCAGGCAGGAGACTAGAACAAAGCCATACACTACAGATTTAGGGTATATTTTGATATGTTAGAGGAAACTGTATCTCAATTTTAAAGAGAGAACAACTTATATATATATGCCAAAAATAAGGGTAACTACTGTGAAGGGATAAAATCTGGCTCTAAAAACGAAAAATAAAAATGTTTTTTTTTAAAAAGGGATTGATAAGATGTTGGTTGAAAAGAAAAATTAAAAAAAAATACATGGAACACTTCATGAATTTGCATGTCATCCTTGCACAGGGGCATGCTAATCTTCTCTATAATGTTCCAATTTTAGTATATGTGCTACCAAAGTGAGCACTATAGTTTTATTTTCTATGCTATTTGTATTTTCAAAGAAGTAGCTTTTGATTGATTCTACTATTTTACTAATTCATTGATTTCTACTTTTATGAATTCCTTTCTTTACAGTGATTTTTTTTTTCTCTTAGCTTCAATACTTAATTTATTAGGAAGAATTTTCCTTTACCAGTATAAACCTTTATTGGTACAAATTTCTTTTAGATAACGGCTTGGCTGCTTTCATACATTTTAGGATATAATGGTATTATTATTTAGTATTAAACATTATATAAGAGTTAATTTTTCTCTTTGACCTAAACATTACTTAGGAGAATAGTCTTTAATTTCTAAGTGTTTAACTTTTGTTTCTTTCAATTTCTAATCTTTATCAGTTTATTGCTTTGGGAACAGAGTAGGTGACTTACATAATTTCTGCTTTTTGGAATTTATAGACTTTCTTTGTAGTGTAGTATGTGACAGATGTTCATGTTTTTCATGGGTGTTGGAAAATAAGTTTTATTCTCTCTAAAGTTGAGAATTGGCTACTAGCACTTAAATCAGAGTTACTAATGATGGAATTCAGACTCTTTTTATCATTATTTTTTATCAGTTAATCTGTTGAAGATTAGAATGATAAGTGAAATCCTTCCACTACTATTATACTCTTGTCACTTTATTCTTGCCTTATTAAATGTTTTTGCTTTATATAAAGAAGGTTCATGGAAATAATATTCCTAATTTGATTTATATTCTTCATCAGTGTGAAATCATTCTATTTTCCCTTGAATTATTTAAAAACATGTATGCAGCAGCTATTTTATTATAATAAGGGCTCATTGTAAAATTCTAAAATAATAAAATCTTGCATAAGTGGAAGCCAAGATCTTTTTGGTCTCTCCCAAGAATTTCATTCCCCTGATGTATTATTGTTAAAAGTTTGTTGTATAGCCTTTCAGACTTAAACAAATTTATAAATTATTTTTTCATTTGGTTTTGAAATTCAATAATGTGATATGGATAGCCGTGTCATCTTTTTTTTTTTTTTAAAGATTTTATGTATTCATTTGAGACAGAGAGAGAGTACATGAGCAGGGGGAGAGGCAGAGGGAGAGGGAGAAGCAGGCTCCCCGCTGAGTCGGAAGCCTCATGTGGGACTCAATCCCAGGACCCCGGGACCACGACCTGAGCAGAATGCAGATGCTCAACCATTTGAGCCACCCAGGAGCTCCCAGCTGTGTCATCTTTTAATGGCTACCCATTACTTGTATAAATTTACCATAATTAATTTAACATTTCTTCTTTTTATTAAGTCTTTGGGTTGGCAGTTTTTTGCTCTTATATATAATTTTATTTATTTATTTTTCTTTTTAAAAAATTCCTTTAGATCTTGAATTCTGTTTTTGTCTGATATTATTTTGTGAAATTCTATTCTTTATTTTCATGATCCTGATAGATCTTTGCCCATTCATTTAAAAAATACTGCTTTTGAAATTATGTTTTTATTAAGTTCTCTGTCCATGTGTCTCCGTATCCATGAGGACTTTTCTAAGCATGTTTAAAAAATAGCACTCTCTTCCTCTATTCCCCTGTTCTCTGGATTCTTCTTCCTAGCTTTATTTTTCCATATGGCATTTATCACCACCTGACACTTGTTTGTGTATGTATTGTTACTGTTTGTTCCTCCCTAGCCCTCTAAACTAAAATGTAAATTCTATGAGGAGAGGAACTTTTTATCTGTTTGGCTCATTACTTTATACTCAGTGCCTGACATAATGTCTGGCATATAGTAAGTATTCAATAAGAATTTGTTGAGTAGATAAATTAGTCCCTTTGGTTTAAACTTTGTCCCTTTATTTTTTGCAATTATTTTATTAAAGATTATTGAGGCTCCAAAGTTTAGCTTTGACCTCACTCGTCAGCTAAAAATGGGCCATTCAAGCTATGGCTTTGTTCTAGATTTTAGAAAACCAAATCACCAAATGCCTACTCCAGTGTCATTTCTGGAATCCCTAAACTGACTGCTTCTCATTTATTAGCTTGTTGAGAGATGTCTGGATCTCAAAACAGGCAACAACAGTAAATCTGATTAAAGAAATATTCTTAAAAAGGAAAATCAGTATAATATCACATATTGTCATTGCCACTGCAAAAACAAACAAACAAACAAACCCACAACATGTGAAGAGTATGAATGATTTTAGGCTTAAAAAATATGATGTTATGTTCATAGCCTTCAGAAAAGAATTACAGCATGGGGTACTGTGACAAGATTACTGGCTGTAAGGTAGTGGACCACTTATTATTATTCCTCAGCCAAAGACAAGCACCATAATATCCATGAGGTTTTGGAACTGCCTTGTCAAATAGTCATACACAACATTGAAATAGGAAAGGAGTAGCTACTACATTTTGAAGTCTTCCTGAACACATAGCAATACATAGTATTATTAACAAGCCAGGACTTAGAAAAAGTGGGACTCCTGAAGACAAAATAGTTCATTTGCTGGAACCTAATGAAGAGGTAACCTAACTCATGAACTGGAGGGTGCAGGTATTTCTAGCATGATATCTACTTTAAGGATTAATTTCTCATGTTGCTCCAGGAAAGATGGTGAAATCACTGTGCATCTATTGAAAGCGAAGGTGCAAATAGAAAGAGACTGTTTTGCTCTCTTGGAAGACATTTATGGTGCTCTGTTTCCACATTTCTAGATCTAAGGTTTAAGGGCAAATCAAAGTAGTAAGTTCTTGCATAATATTAAAAATAAAAAATATAAGTGAGGGCAAACACTTGCTTTTGCTTCTGAAAGTATTCTGAAAGCATCTTCCTCCAGAAATGCACAGAGATTCTCTTTGTGAGTTTGCTTCAATGAAATTGCACAGTCTCTGTTGACTAGATCTTAAATCCAGACGGAGCAGGGGAGATAAGAGTTTACTTTAATCCACTTGCTACTAGGGTGGAAGGGCAGCATTACTACCAGCAGTAGACTATTTTGACTAGATTTGGCAGAAAAATTCTCTCCCTTTTGCTAACCTCAGTTGAAAGGAAGGGTCTATTTGATTTTGTGAATATGTGGTACATGACCATGCATAGGAGCAATCTAAGTCAATGGAGCTGAGAAATGATTATTCCAGCACTATAAAGTGAACTTTAATATTGGAGAAATAATATTTTAAATAATCATATCAGAGCAGTGATTCAGTTTATTTTCTGGAAAAATACTCAGATTTATTCTGTCTCAAGAGTTTCATTCTGTGATAGTGAGCTTCATCTTTGGTTTTGACCTCATCTGAATGTTGAGTTCACACCTGGCCCTTCAGTATTGGGCCAATGCATGTATTTGTTACATTTCTATTAACTTCTAAGTAGATACAAAATAACAATTAGAATACAAAGGACATCAGTCATCTACACCTTGATTAAAGAAAAAGAAGAACACACTGTTAGTTAAGTGCCTTTGTGCCTTCCTCAAGCCCATCCATTTTCCCTAGAGGTATCCACTCTTCTGAATTTTGCATTTATCAGTTCCTTACTTTTATTTTATAGTTTTATGACATACATATGTTTGCATCGCTGAACAATATATTTTTTAGTATATTTTTAGTTTTTCTGTAACAAAATTTTTAACATTTTAAAACATTACATCCATGTGGCAACATTCATTTTCATGGCACTATTGTACTTCATTATGTGAACATTCCACACTTTATTCGTTCTACTCTTTATGTACATGTGTTATTTGGCTTTTTAAAATTTTACTCTTTCACGGTGTTTCTATGAATATTCTTACAAATGTTTTCTATGGGTGTGTGTGTGTGTAGCGAGGTGGGCGCAGCTAGTGATGGAGTGTGAGGTTGGAAGTCAAGTTTCATTTTCCTCGTGGATGTCCAATTGTCCTTTCGCCACTCCCATGAGTATCCCCTCTATAACAAGTGCCATTTATGACAGCCTATGTCTAGTCACTCTATTCTGTTCCATAGGTTTATTTGTGTCTTGGGGCATCCATATGATACCGAGTCTTCCAATCCACGAACAGTGGCATCTCTCTGCATTTATTTAGGTCACCTCTGCTGTCTTTCAGTGAAGTTTTATAAGTTCCCTGTCAGAGGTACCACACATTTTGTCCCTTCGACCCTACGAAGATGTCAGAAGCGCTGCTCAGCCTCTCAGCTGCCTCTTCCAGATTGGCCAACGTGCTTTTGGCAAAATTCCAGACTCACATCTTTGGCTTTCTATTTTCTTGTAGATCTTGGCCCAGTAATTCCATACTGTCGTTTTAGCTTGATACTTTAAAGAACATGATTTTTATATTCTGTCTGGATATTTTAGTTTCCTTCAACAAGAGAGTTGGCCCAAATTACTCACTCTACCACCACTGGGAGGAAGTTCCCAGATCTTCTTTATCCTTGCATCCTCTAGATCTTTCCAGTTTATCTCCTCTTCCTCCCCCCCACCCATCTCATTATCTTACTCTTCAGCACCAAGCTTCACTTTACTCTGCTTCTTTCATCCTATTGGCTTTGGCCTCTCCTTTCCCCCTTTCTTTGTATTTTAATTAAAATTATAGCATGTTTCATGACCAAGACAAGCAGAAATGAGCTTCGTGGAAACTAAAAACATTATTAGTACATCCCTCAAAACAAAACAACACAATAATCCCACCAGGATTCAGCCATAAAGCACGTTTACTTATGAACAAAATTCAGAAAACTCACAGAGGAAAATCAGGAGACAGTGTGGCAGTGTCAAGAGAACTTGGCCTTAGATTAACATAGATTTGGACTTTAGTCTCTCTCCACCATAATAGCTGTGGAAACAGGCAGATTTAGGGACTGTGACTAATTAATGGAAATTGACCTCTTTTTTTCCTTTTGGTTGGTCAGTAGATCTATATTTTGTCCATCTAGGCTGCACAACTGCCCTGATGTTCTTTATATTCCACAGTGGACAGAAGAGTTCATTTCTCATTAAAAGAAAAGATCACTGTAGGTACTTTATCTCACGTCCCAAAGGTAAAT